AAACCAACTCAAATGTTATAATATTAAATAGAATAAAACAATAGAATAATTAAAAAACGTTGCAAAGATTACCCATAAGGCAGTAGCAAAATAGGCAGAAAACCCCAACATATATATAGTACATAGACACACTAAAATGAATAACATTTACCTGGTCCATTCAGGAAATCTTTTATTTGTACCGTGATGAATGGTGGAGGAATCCCTGTTCTGGCATTGACTTCTCCTGCTGCTGTCTGTAGCCAGATTTTGGTGAAATCAAGGCTTTCTGGCAATGTCTTCCCAGCATCTTCAATGAAATGAAGACAAAATTATTCCAAGAATGTTTCAGCATTAATATAATTAATATTAATATATCATAAAACACTGGGACATCACATTGGTTACTATCAGAACACTGATAAAAAGCATTAAAGCTAAATCCACACAAAAAAAGCGTGAAAGTGTTTTTTTTGTTCTACCCTTGGGTGAAAAGGTGACCTTAAAAAATGTTATGAACTTTTACATTAAGTTGACAGAATATGAAGGCCACTATTGCTGTTCTCTCCATCTAGAAATGCTAGTTGTTTGGCTATCATTTTGCTACAATGTATGTATTACTTTGACTTACTCACCTGAAACAAGAATGCAGATTTAAAATTTTCACTTTACTTTAACTTTGTCATCTGTATGCTTATTGCAGGTAGATTTCCCTGCAGAGAGCCGTGACTGTCACTCACGGCTCCCTGCAGGGATTCTCCCGTTCCCGCTCCGATCCTCTAGTGCTGACTGGCAGAACGGACAGGGGAGGGGGCGGGTACAGCCGGCTCTGCCTCTATATAGGCAGAGTCAACTCTCACTCACGCAGCTGGTCGGATCCAGACATAATTGTCGTGATCCGTTTCAGCTGAGGCGTCTCAGTCTACTGAGCTTTGGGTGACAGGAGGATGCTAGTTTGTGTCCTCCCTTTACCCTTCAGAGAACTATGGGGAACAGTCCTAACCCCATAGTTCTCCTTTAAGAGAGAGCCAGGCAATGATCATTCTTAAAAAGGGCAAATCAACGACAGCCTTGGTATTTGTTAAGGTCTGTAAACTGATCCCGACATCACCAAAAATGTGATAACCGTCCCTAACAAAAGGACATTGAAAGTTAGACGTGGGCACCAGCCACTGCTGTAGAAGGCACACAGACCGGCGGCCCAGAGGGGAGAAGAGAAGCTAGGTATACACTACATTTTCAACCGCATTTTGGGCCATCATGGTACTTTCTGCATTTTGCCAAAAGTGTAATTTTTGGCTGAAATGTTTTGGCGGATGAAATTTTGGTGTATCGCTATTAACTATGTACTAGTAATAGGAATAGACAAAAAAAAATATTTTTGTTCTTTTTTTTTAGCACAAAACAGATCTTTACACAGCAATTTGACAAGGGTCCGAGGTTAGGCCAATTGCTTTTATGAAAAGTGCAGTCCACTTACTAGGTTACTAATAGCTTTTAGCTAACAAGTGTAAAATGTGCTGTGGGATAAGCCAACTACATTAGGTGTATATGTGTTCTGTCACATGCATGAAGCAAAGTACATCTAGATGGTCTGGTGGCTGTTTCGAATAACTTAGCAACCAGTGACATTTCAGGATTGGGAGCTTAAATTTACCTTTATTACCAACTAAACTGCTGACAGTATTTTCAAATTTAACCTGCACAACTCTTTAATAAAACTGATCTAGAAAAGGAATGAAAATATCAAATAACCTATTACATTTAGAATAAATCTGAACCGAATCTTGCGGTTCCCTCAGTCTTTAACCATCACTTAGCAAGATTTAACCCCCTAGGCCAACCAATGCCAAGAGTCCACTTAGTCTTTAACTTCAAAAGCACACAGCCATTTGCAAAGATGAATGCAAATATACTGGACAACATCCAAACCCTACGACCACCTTGCATTATAAAACTATTTAGAAGAAACCAGGACTTTTTAAGGTCTTGAACTGAAAGCAAACACTGAGTAACCCATGTTATAAATAATTAAAATGTAAAGCTTAGGCTGCCAACACACTTTGCTTATTCTAGGTGTTTGTGTAGATTCATCACTTGTATTTAGTGTACGTACTTTATATTAACTGTCACTGGGTCCTAGGGAAAACTGCATTTTCTGGACACAAATAATTAGGTCCTTAAATCCCATAATAGTCGGTAAGAAAGCTCTCGATTTAGCCACTGAGACTCCCATAGCGAGTTACTATTCTGATTTGGATATGCAAAATTGTAAACAATGTTACAAATATTTAGATTTCACTAAATCTGGCAACTAGTGATCAGTATGTCACAATCTTTTTTAAGCTTGCAGGAATTCACATGGACCTATAAATAAGTTTTTCTCTTTGTTATTACGGCAGTAGATGGACTTTCGTACATGTTATTTAAATAGTGCACACATGTCGTAGTAAGAAATGGTGCTAGCATGGCCACTGCGGAGTTAGAAGTTATCAAAAAGGGGCGTGGTTTGCGCATGGCGCCGAGCGGACGTACCTAGCCTGAGCTCCGTCTTCCACCCCGAGCAAACCATCTAAATACCACTCTTTCACCCCCATCTGAGACCTTCAATTACTACCATCTGCACCCGTGGGCAATGGGCAAGACTCCGCGCCGCAAAGACTCGGCGAAACAATCCGGCAAGGGCTCCATCAAACACCTGTGGAAACCGAGCACTCCGTCACCAGACCACATGGCAGGCAGATCAGCGCGAGGCCGCGAATCCGGCCCGACCCTGCAGCCCTCCGGTGCTTCTCCGCCGGCTCGTTCGCACTCACCTGCCTTCTCGTCTGCCTCTCAGGACTCAGATCCGGGATCCGAGATGTCGGTGGCGACTCTGGCAAGACACCTTCCAAGTAAGTCAGACCTGACTGAGATGTTCTCCCGCCTCGAACATTCTCTGAAATCTGAGATTTCCTCAGTCAAAGCGGAGGTGTCCCATGTACTCCACCGAGT